GCATTGAGGCTGCCGAACCGTTTCACGGAACAGTGGAACTAAATGGAACCAACTTTCGGGGCACCTTTAGGCACAGTTGCCTACAGAACAGGGGCCCATGCTACGTGGTGATCAAGGACCGCCTTCTCGACGCGGGCCAGCACCAAGTCTGTGCGAAAGCTGTAGCACGCAACGGTCAATCCGCCATCAGTTGCCTGCCCGTCAGCATTGCTGAACAACAAGGCAAACTGCAGCTCTATGTGGATGGCAGCGGTGCTCCCCTAAATGGCCGGACCATTCTACGCACTCGTCCCATCTCCGGTGACTACGATCCTCGCCTCTCCTATTCTCTGTATTTCGGGGATGGCAGCCCTCCTGTTACGGGATCCAACTTGGATGCCATGACCCTGTTTGCGCACAACTACACTACGGAGGGCAAGTTCACTGCCTCCATGCAATTCGACAACGGCCAACACTTGACCTGTGTGGTGGCAGTCGCGCACCCGATCGAAGAGTTCCGCGTCCTCTTTCCAAACGGACCTGTAGCAGTGGCGAGAAAGTCTATCAACGCAACAGTGAGGCTGATTAGCTCCGGTCCGGTGTCAATCGAAGTCGGTGGACTGGTGCTGACTAATCGAAGCAAGTTTTACTCTGGATGACTTAGTGCTCTACTGCTTCTCAAACGACTTGAGCAATAGCATGAGGTCAACATGCAGGAACAATGGCCGACAGTCTTTCTTCCATTTAAGGCGGCGAGCATCAGTGGTTTACACTCGTTCCTCCTGCTGAAGGCGTCTACCACGCCAATGTCACGGCCTACAACTTGGGATTCGCCATCACAATTCCCGTAACATACCAAGGCCAGTTGGATCAGTTCGACATTCGAATTCACCTACAGCAGCGCAACTCATCCACTACGCCTCGTAAGTGCCTCACTCCCCTCTCCTGCACCCTCTTCGCATTCCTACCACCTCAAAGAGTTTGCCTCCAATGTGCTGCTGACAAGGACCAATAAAACCTGCCGATCACACCTGATTACTTTCTTCATGCCAAAGGTATAGTGGGAGCTGTTGAGTTTCCAAACTACTCGGGTTCGCGACCAGTACCATTGGGATTTCGCTTAAATGCAATGTGCGTTCCTGTCAAGGGCGCTCCTCCAGTCGCACAAGTCATCCACGTGCACGAGAAGGAAAAGACATTCAACTTCACTTTACCACCACTGGGCCAGTTTGAGTGCACTTTTACGGGCCAAAATGATGTGTGGACGACGCGGCCTCAGGTAAGACTCCTGCCACCCACTCACACCTCACTCGTTTGCTCTCTTTCCAGAACCACGCTGTGAATGTCACGATTCCACTCATTCTTGGTGGAATCGGTATTTTCGCAAGGGAGGGTGCGCAAATTGTCACTGGATGTGGGCCACACTACAACGCCTTTGAGCAGGGCACTTCAATCACACTCAGTGTGGACATTATTCAGGGCGACACGGAGAAGGTTCAGTGGCACCTCACTAAGTTGGGCAACTTGAGAGTGCATTTCGAGAGGGTGGAGAGAGACGCCAAAACCATAATTTTCCAGCCTCTAGATGTAAGTAGTGCATCTACCGAGTCGCCAGTTAATGCCTCGCTCTAGGTCGGCAATTACACGATGACGGCAACAGTGGATGGACTCGACGACGGTGCTGGCAGTCAATCGAGGT